ACCGAGAGTTAAAACTGACAAAGTCGTCAATCGTTGGCTAACTGACTCGATATCGTTTCACCAAAACCAATTTAATTTTGCGGTGTATTGTGCAACGACAGCTTGTGGGTTGGATTTTGACCTATTACCGATTCCGGTCCGTACGTGTCTGCCCTATTGGTAGAAAAATTTCTACGACTGCGTAATGCCGATACCCAACGACGACATTTTTGACACGCTGCACAATAATTACGATCATCGCAAATGTACCGACACTTGCCTATTGTACAACGTCGATCAAAATCAGTCTTTTAAACAGACGCGAGATACTTTATCAAATGGGCTCGGAACGGCATACTACTATTACGACGACGGCTACGTCCCTGTCCCCGGTAAAACTATGACGCACACGATTTACACACGTAATCAACGGCAAATATGCGCAGTGTTCTCAACGGGGTATTTTAGCAGGGTGGACCGCCCTGCCAAAATTGTGGGCCGCCCCGCTAAAATTTTGGCGCCCTGCTAAAATTTGTGCCAATTTTTTTGAGTAGTGTATTTTCCCCGAATGTCTACATTCTAAAGACTTTAATTAAGAAAAAAAGAGGTTTGCCGCAGTTTGTGGATCGAGTTTGAGTTTACCGACGTCGCTTATGATGTACTGACAATGGTGATTGTTGGCTGCCTACCGTTATGAATAGTCAACCTCGTATCCCGAAAAACCATCGCGTATGTTTTGTACATGTACTGTACACGTACATTGTATTGCACAAGCGTGTACATGTACACGCAATGCATGTGACGGGTACCCTCGGGCGCAACAGTTTTGTGGAGTGTGTGCGAGCGCCAGTGGAAGGACTGTGCCTTGCCTGAGCGGCCCCCAAGCTCTGCCCCGATTTTGAGGCTTGTTTTTACTGTGCCTTTTCACAGTCAACTGATCATTGAGAAAACCGCATGCTCTGCTCATCTCAAGCATGTCTCGAGTCACTAACATGAGGTTCTGCTAAAAATGCTCCCGAAATTCGATGAAGGAATTCCTCCTGAAGAATATCCTAGCCAATATTTCACGTTGTAAATGCAATCAGATTTGGGGCCAAATTACAGACAAAATTGCCCCAGAATGCACCACAGAGCATCTAGAATCCAAAATTTTCCGGGGCCCCGGTCCCCACGCCGTAAAGGGCTTGGCGCTCGCAATTTTGTCTTCCGCCGCCCTGCCAAAATTTTCGGCCGTGGAGAACACTGATGCGGGATCTACTTTAATGGGCTTTGGTTGGGCCAAACCGCTCAAAGGCTCGGGCCGCGCTAGTACCTATACGGTAAATTGGATTTCGCATTCTGACGCAGTTACATTGGCCTAGAGGGACTTTGTGTCCCTAAAAAATCGAGCTTGACAGACGTGGGAGTCACAAAAGTAAACGAGTCGATCAGAGCCTACGTTTACGCGCTTTGGGGAACTCAGGCACAGACAAAGACGAGCGTAATGGCACCAGGAACAGGACTAGACGCTCAACGGCAGTTTATTATTATAGTAGAGTTTTTGATTAACTCGGTTCCGGACTTGGAAGCAAGTGTAGACCAAGTTCAAGATTCTTTACAATACGCGAATACGCCTTTAAATTTCCTAGTGGCGTCCGGTTTACACTTGGTGCCTTTGGACATGGATTTGCGCAATGGAACATTTGAAGGTTACAACAATTTACAAATCGTGACCTTCGACATGCGGACCGGTTACGCGCCTAGTTTAAATTCTAGCGGCATTTCAGAGACTACCGATTTTGACGAAAAAGTTGACGAAAAAGTCTCTGAGACAGAACCCGAACTAACTTTACCAAAGCCAGACCCTATGCCAAATATAAAGCCTGTTTTACCACCCACTCCCGAAAAAAACCCGTTGGACATGCTCAACGAAGAAAATTGTCGTTGGCGATCAGAACAATTGCAGTTACGGGACTTGCATTTATGTTGTATAATTTACTGACTTTGTAAACTTGGCAAAAAATAAAAAGGCAAAAGAAAAATTTAACCCACTTTCTCGGACCAGGCCACAATTGAAAGGCTTGACCGAGAAAGTGGGATATTTTTGCCTCGTTTAAATACTTACATTTTTTTAACGTAGGTCAAAATTAAAACGCCGACGCCCACAAATAAAGTCCACACGTGTTCGGCGACCCAACCGACCGCTTTGCTCGCCACGTTTAATGTCCCACCGAGTATGCTACCAATAAATCCCGGCAAAGCTGCAAGCGCTTTCAGGCCCAGTTTTTTTTTCAAAACATTTGCCAAGTTCCACAATTGCCGTTTGATCCAATCGACTATGCCACCTTTTGAGGGCGGTGTCGGAGTCGGTTTTGGCGCGGGATCCGGCTCCGGCCCCGGTTTAGGCCTGGGCTCGGGCTCCGGAGCACCTGCGGCCCTGACCGAGGCGACTACGCTCGCTACTATCGTATTGATGGCTAAACCAAAAGCCGTTGAAATGCTCGCTATCGTAATGCCCTGTTCCTTAAACAAAAGTCTTTGTCCATCACAGCTTTGATCGTCTCTTTGATGCGGTTGATTTGACCTCGAAGTTTGTCAGTTTCTCTATTTATAACTTCTAACCTGCCGCGTCTCTCTATCTGTAAATCTTCCAGTTGCTCTAAAAGTTCCGCTCGTTCCGCATCTGTCGCGGCTTCCTCCAATTCATTTTTGACCTGTTGAATCTTTTCGTCCAACTGATCTAGCTTGCCCTGGTTTAACTCTAAATTCCTTTTAACCGTCTGTAAAGCTTTGCCGAGAACTTTCAATTCTCGTAAATTTAATTCAGTCTGCACTTGCTTATCTTCGGTGAGGTCTTGTACAATTTCATTCACTTGGTCGGCCGCTCTGGGTAATTCTTCCAATTGTATCGTTTCGGGGTGAATTGTTTTTAAACTTTGGCCCGCCCGTGCAATTTTTACGCCGTAATCTTTAAAAGCTAATACATTTCTCACAAACCGCGATGCCGAGTAGCCGGCGTTCCTAGCGTTTATGGCAATCGTCTAATATTACCAATGTGTTGGGACTTCTTTACCGGTTAAAAGAACTTCCATGGTATATTTCCCATCCATGCCCTTGAAAAATAACCCTTTACTTAGTCAATATTTAAAAATTTCGTACTGGGGAGATTTTGGCACGTCGGTTCGCCCCATTTTCTATAATAGTCGTAAAAGCTGTCTACTCGCGGATTAGTTATAAATGCCCTTGTACCCAATTTCAATTTATCTGGCCTAGGACTGACTTCTAACCTGGGCCTAACCGAGCCAGAAATAAAAGACGTCTCAGGTTTTCTGTCAGTTTGACTGTGTCCTCGTCTAAATTTACGTCTTCCAACTTTACGTCTTCCTCGTCTTCAATATCGTCGTCTTCATAAGTTAAATTTTCTTCCCCTCTGAAATTGAATACTCGGCAGCCGTGTCTACGCTTTTGACCACTTTGCCATGTCCCTTAAATTGATAAGTCAAAGGTTCTTTAAATCCCGAGGGATAAAATGGCCCGTGATCCGTTAAAAGAGGCACGTCCAGCGCAATTGCGTAACGATTTTTAAAAGCGTCTGCCATGGCTTTATCTTTACCATCGTTTAAAGCCGCGTTAGCATCAGCAGCTCCCAAACGTAATTTGGCACGTTTTCCCTTTCCAGGCCCAAATAGCCTATGTTTTTCCTCTGCGACAGGGGTAGCCAATGATCTTTAAAGTTGTGAAATATATCTGCGTCGCAGTAGCTCGACAAATGAAAGCTCGCACTCTTTAAACAGCGTAGTGGTTTTATAATTTGGTTTAAAAATTAATTTCTTATATTTATAGGCGTCTTGAAAATCTCTCAGTAAATGCCCGTCGATTCGATAACTCACGTTTTCCATCGTTTTACCAAAGACTGAATTGTTGATTAATTTGAAAAAGTCTTTTTCGAAATCAGACTTTGCCAATTTTCTCAACTCGGTGTTTTTGTTGATGTAACTTTTCATCCACGGAGCCTGTTTAAAAGACGTTGCTCGGTGCACCTCTTTTAAATCTAGTCCTAATTCCAGATATTTTTGCAACGTGCGATAATGCACAACATATTTGTGCTTGGTGCCCAAAGTGGATAAGAGCTTGTCTATAAAAGTAACCCTCTTTCTGTTTTCTATCAAATCTTTTGGTAGTCTGAGAGCCAGTCGTGGGGGACCGATATATTTTCTGGTGCTAGTGGGAAATTGTTGTGCTTGTCGTGTAAATGTTATAGTCTAAGGTTACGTCGTGCACATAGCCTTTCGACGCTTTTGGTGAAAGTTTTGCGATATAGTCTGGAGTAAATTTAGTCGTGTCTTGAACCCATCTAAAGTCTTCAAAAGGCAACGATTGACTCATGGCCCAACTGTACAAATTATTTGCGTCTAAATACATTATATAAGACGTAGGAATGTTTGGATTAAAGTCTTTTGAATCTTGATTATTTGCTTTGGCGTATAGCGCTTTGCCCCTACGCTCGAAATTCCGCCTCGTTTGGCCCTCTCGAAAAATAGGTGTTTATCGACGTTTGTCAGCAGCTCCAATTCCACGCCAGAGTGTTTTAAAAGCCATATNATGTTGGGGGGTACCCCTCGGTCTCATTTCTTGCTGGGTATATATACAAAACGGCCATGATACAGATTCCTTTGGTCATGACCTTTCGTCCCTATTTCCGTATCCTCAGCCTTATTATGACATTCAAATAACATTTCAAATAGCTTTGCCCGTGTAATGCCGTAAAACCCTGACCTGCTGAAATGAGATATGATCTCTTGAGTCCAGCGCCGCGGTGTCGTCTTTGGATCGTCTCATTTGTAGCATTTTCTAACTAAAGGATATATGAGTTGAATGGGAAGGCTCCGATATAAATATTTGAAGTGAAGCCTTTGCTTAATACTTAATTTTACGATGTGGTGGGACATTTTAGCACTGGGAAAGCAACTTTTATCCTACTACTTTCCCAACGGATCAGTCGAAGGGGAGCAAAGACTGGAACAGAACTGAAGGGAAAAAATCACAAAAAGGTAATGTTGACAAAGAGTTTTTACGGCTGACGATATGCGCCCTGGCAGATTATAAAGCTTGCTCGTCGAGTTAAATGTTCAGGACTTAAATAAACTTACATATTTAAAACAGCATTTTTAAAATATCTAAAAACACCCAGAATTGGCGTTATTTGAGACGACGCTGGTTTATTAAGTTGACCACAAGAAAAGTGATTCTACCGAGTAGCACAGAGTACTGACAACTACTTTGGCATTAGCCAACGACAGTTCATTGTTCTCATGTTCCTTCTCGAGTTTCCCATGAACTGAATGGGTATCTTGGTGAAATGAACGGCCGTGCCATTAACTGGATGCAAGCTTTCACTGACCACAGTCCACATTTAGACATCTTTACTTTTCTGCAAGAGGAACTTGAAAACAAGGTGTAAACTCCGGGAATACGTCAAAGACTGCAGTAGAGGGGACTCGATTACAATGTGAATGGCCCAGACTTTTAAGTGTTGGAGTCCACAGTGCTTAATTCACTCATATTCAAAGTATTAGTACTTAATTCAATGTTCGAGATGAACATTCGTCATGATCTTATCGAATAATGGCAGAGATCCGTCGTAACCGTTATGATCTATATCAGCCAGGTATTTTTGATAGTCGCCTGGTAGACGTTTCTGTCTTGCTCCAGCGAGGATAACTTTCAGGTAGTGAGGTGACGGTTTCTTGTCGAAGATAGGATCCACCATTTGCAGAGTAAAGCACTGGAGAACATCTTGAGCCTGTTCTAGGGGCGTGATAGTGACAGGATCCAGGCAACGGTAAAACCCTTGGTTTACTGTTTCTTGCCTGGTGTATGAAAGACAAAGATCGAAACTGGTTTTCCTTAAAGGAAAAGGTGATTTTGTCAGCCAGTCAATCGAAAGAACTGAGTTAGAATTTTTTTGTGTATAACTAAAATAGTAACCCCTTTTTATTTTTCTGAAAAAAGAAAAAAAATAACCCATATGCAAACAAAATGAACACGACTGTATAATTTCAATAAACTCAGGTTTAGTGTTTGAGAAAGGAAATCAAGCTTGGAAACTTTTCCTCAAGTTGTTAATAAGGAATTTGCATGTTTGAGACTAAAACTGTAGAAGAGGTCATCTCACTGAATTAATTATACATTATTATGAGTGTTCTGTGACAGATAACGCTGTTGGATAAACAGTCCAGGTTTCGATTCTGATTAGCTTCCGAATTTAGGATAATCACAGGGATATTGATTTGAGGCCGGTTCATGCATGGCACGAAAGTGAACACAAAAGTAATTCAATTTGAGAAGTCGGATCAAACAATTGGGCGTTCAATTCTTGATAGTTGAACATATTTTAATTCGATCTAATTTCGCTGCGATTGTTTCTTTACGTCAAATCGCTTTTCTATTCGCTCAAAGTATGAACCGGCTTTTACTTTTACTTGGGTAAAATTGCAAAATCGGAGGGCACAAAGGACGCATGAACGTGTCTTCAAAGTATTAACACCCAAAAGTATTAAATAAGCTCGGTTGTATCAGACTAATCTGAGGTCATTCACCCTCGGTCTTTGATCAACTCGAAGTTTGTCCTTTGTGGGAAAAAAATGAACTGTAGGCTAGAGCTCCTGTGAAAACCATCACATCATGTACATGCCTGTGTACATGTATATCTTACTCATACAACCGCGGAAGATCACTTTCGTTGATTTTAAGCACGGCGCCCCACACAGACTGCCCCTTAGATTGGTCAATAGTCGCCATGGCACCCTTCCACACGAAATCGGTCGGCCAACCAGGATGCTCAGCGAAGCGGAGCCTGTAGTTCTAGGTAAGAAACAAAATGAGCTTCCTGTAGCACGTCTTTGCAAATTTGGGAGGGGTACAATTACAAAGTTGCAACACTTCAAAAATAGAGATTACGGCTTAAATATAGCACGCCGAAATGGTATGATGCCNGAGGGGTAAAAGATAGACAGCTTGAAAGTTGTCAAATACTTTACATTCGACTACAAGTCCGGGAGTAACTTGAAGGGGGCGGGGCGTCCCCACGGGTTCCCCATTTAAAATCGAAAGCACACAAACCTATGTACAGGCCACGTGCAGTTCATTTTACTAGTGCCCCGGGAAATGTGTCAACCCCCGGGTGATCCTTACGAAATTTCACCCAGTTATGGAATTGCACTAGACCAGATACTATGGAGCGTCAAAATGGACAACCCCATTTTCTCATTTTCTGCTGGTAGATTTTCGGGATTTTGGACTTTGCGTATAGCATTTTCAAAAAATGCAATTTTCCGCCAGCAGAAATTTGGATTTTACTTTAACAACTCTCGTGGTGTGTCAAAAGTGGACAACTAAAAACTTCAAATTCCCACTGGCAAAATTACTGTCATGCTCCCAAAGTGGACAACCCCATTTTCTCATTTTCTGCTTGTAGATTTTCGGGTTTGGGGAATTTGCGTGAAGCAATATCAAAAACTCACTTTTCTGTTAGCAAAAATTGGTAATTTACTTGAAGAAGTCTTCGTAGCGCGTCAACAGTGGACAACTAAAAATTTAACTTCAAATTTCCACCAGCAAATTTTATTTGACGCTCCCAAAGAGGACAACCCAATTTTCTCCTTTCTGCAAGTAGATGTTAAGGTTTTTGAAGATTCACCATCCCTTTTCACAAAACCTTATTTTCTGCTAGCAGATATTTGGATTTTACTTTGCCGACAGCGAGGTGGTCCAAAAGTGGTTAAAAAAAACTGGAAGGACACTTTTCTCCCTACGTTGAAATTTAACGGTCTTGGAAAGATTGGCATCACCCGACCCAGAATGGTCCAGTCCACTAATTCAAGCCCCATTGAAAACAGTGTAAAATCAGCACTGTTCAGGGCCCAATATCATGCACGCCAACATCCCTGAGATTTCTGAAACACAAATTAAATTCTTGTCTGGTCACTTATCTTTCAATTTCTTTTCAATTTTTCGTGGGTTAACCAATTACATTTTTAATTATTCCCACAAAACAAAA